TTGCCATATTGAATCCCAGGCTCAGAACTCTGTGGCCTAGGGACTAGCTCTGTCTCTAGTTATATAAATGGTTAATTAAGGGCATCAGGTGAAGGAGGAAAGGAGGAAGACAGAAACAAGGCCAGGAGGGGCCCCCTCTGGAATGTTGTATCTAAAAAAAGGTTTCTCTGTAGAGAGAACTCACCATAAGGCTACCAGATTTTTTTCAACTCATGTTAAGCCCTTGCTTTGCATATTGTTTGAATACATTTACATGTTGACTATTCAAGAGGCTCTAACTCCAAATATGTAAGATAAAATAAGTTTGATCTTGTCACCTACTGCAACTGTATTTGTACACAGTGTCAGTGCCGAACACAACTCGAGTGTAGAACAGATTTTGGAACAGCCTGGGCAGAGGGATGGCAGAGAATCAGAGGAGGGAGGCTGAGGAAGTCCTCCTTCCTCCTCCAGAGCTGTGACCGCATGATGGGGCTTGGACAGACCCCTCCAGACTGTGGAATCAGCAATAGAACCTGATCCCCACCCCCATCCCACGCCTTTCTTCCTATTCCAAACAGTGCAGGTGCCTTTGATGGGGTCCCCCCCCACCCCGCCTTCACCATGTGCTGTTTTACAGGCCACTCCTCTGGGTGTCCCTCCTTGGACCTGCTGGGCATGCCCTGTTCCTTGGGCTGCTCCCCATCATGCTCAGCACCATGCTTAGCACTTTGAGCCCTTGCATATAATTGTTCAGGGTGTGCCCTGGACAGAGCACCTGGCAAGGGCACTAGTGGCCCCTCTCCACACCCMCAACGATGCTGCAGCAGGGGCAGGAGGTGCCTTCTTGCTCTTAATCCTGGAAGGTACAAGGGGATGCCTTCTTCTAATTTGCACATCGATGCTGCCCTGTGTGGTGGGGAAGCCCAGTGCAAGTCCCCTATCAGGTGTTTACCACCTGCTCACTAATGAGAAAAGTAGAGGCAGCAGGGTAGGTAAGAGGCATCATTTACTGAATAAAACTTCCTTTCCCTATTGAGTGGCCTTGGCACTCTTGTAAAAAAATTATTTGACTGAATATATGAAGGCTTATTTCTGGGCTCTATAGTCAATTCTCTTGGCTTGTATGTCTATTTCTATGCCAGCGACACATTGTTTTAATTATTGCAGTTTTTTGGGTTTTTTTGGTGGGGGGTACCAGGGATTAAGCTCGGGGGCACTCGACCATTGAGCTACATCCCCAGCCCTTTTTTGTATTTTATTTAGAGACAGGGTCTCTCTTAGTTGCTTAGCACCTTACTTTTGCTGAGGCTGGCTTGGAACTTGCGATCCTTCTGCCTTAGCGTACCAAGCCCCTGGGATTACGGGTGTGCGCCACTGCACCTAGCTGATTATTGTACATTTTTAAAATTTTATTTTATTTGTTTTAATTAGTTATATATGACAGTAGAATACATTTATGTACTTTGAAATGTCATGCATAAGTGGGGTATAATTTCTCATTTTTTTGAATGTACATGTTGTAGAATCACATTAGTCATGCAGCCATACATGTACATAAGATAATAATGTCTGTTTCGTTCTACTATCCTTCCCACCCTGATACCCCCTGGTTATTGTAGTTTCATAGTCAGTTTTGAAACCAGGAAGTGTGAGTCTTCCAACTTTGTTCCTTTTTATTCAACACTGATTTTGTGCCTGCCATGGTGGCAATATACCTATAATCCCAACAACTCAGGAGGGTGAGGCAGGATCATAAGTTCAAAGCCAGCCTCAGTAATTTATCCAGGCCCTAAGCTACATGACACCCTGTTTCAAAGTAAAAAAATCTTTTAAAAAGTTTAAAAAGGGGGTTGGGGATGTAGCTTAGTAGTAAAGAACCAGTCCAAAAAAAAAGATTGTTTAGGCTATTCAGGGTGCCTTGAAATTCCATATGAAGTCTTCTAATCCATGAATATGGCATGTGTTTCCATTTACTTATGTCTTCTTTCGTTACCTTCAGCAAATGTTTTCTAGTTTTCATTGTGCAAGTCTTTTGCTTTTGGATAAGATATCTGTCTGTCTGTCTGTCTATCTATGTATCTGGTAGTGGGGATTGAACCCAGAGGCACTTTACCACTGAGCCAAATCGCAGCCCTTTTAATTTTTGAGACAAGTTGCTTAGAGCCTTGCTAAGTTGCCCAGGCTGGCCTTGAATTTGTGATTGACCTGCCTCAGCCTCCTGAGTTGCTGAGATTATAGGTGTGTACCATCATGCCTGGTTGGATAAGTTACTTCTGAAGTATTTTGTTATTTTTGATGCTTTGTCAAGGGAATTATTTTTATAATTTCCATTTCAGATTCTTCACTGCTAATATAGAGAAATACACTGAATTTTGTTTGTTGATTATATATCCTGCTACTTTACTGAACCCATTTATTAAGTCTACCTTTTTTTTTTTGTTCTGTAGAATCTTTAGGATTTTCTGTGTATAAGATCATATCATATACAAACAGTGACAATTTTGATCTCTATCAGTTTGTTTGCCTTTGGTTTCCTTTCTTGCCTAATTACTAGAACTTCCAGCATTACGTTGAGTGGAAATGGCCAAAGTGGGTATCCTTATCTTGTTATTGACCATTGAGACAAAGCTTTCTATTTTTTGCCTCTGAGTATGTTTAATGTGGGTTTTCCATATATGGCTTTTATTATTATTTTTATTCCTAATTTGTTGAATGTTTTCATCATAAAAAAATTAAATTTTGTCAGGTGCTTTTCTGAATGAATTGGGATAATCAGGTGGGTGATTTTCTCTTTATTATGTTACTGTGGTATATTATATGGATTAATTTTCTTATGTTGAACCATCCATGCATTCCTGTTAATGTGTATTTTATTGATTGATTTCCTATGTTGAAAGGTCTTTGCATTACAGGAAAAAATTCCCACATGATCATTGTGTATAATACTTTTTGTACGCTTCTGAATTTAGTTTGCTAGTATATTTTGAGGAATTTTACATCAGTGTACATATAGGATATGGAGTTATAGTTTTCTTTTAGTATCTTTATCTAGCTTTGGTACCATGGTAATTCTGACATTATAGGATGAGTTAAGAAATGTTTTACTGGGTTGGGGATATAGCTCAGAGGTAGAATACTTGCCTAGTATGTGGGAGGCCCTGGGTTCAATACCCAGTACCACATCAAAAAAAAAAAAAAAAAAAAAAGAAAAAAAGAAAAAGAAAAGAAAAGAAATGTAGAAAGATTGGTATTTGTTTTTCTTTAAAGATTTAGGGGCTAGGGATATAGCTCAGTTGGTATACAGTATTTGCACAAGGTCCTGGGTTCGATCCCCAGCACCACAAAAAAAAAAAAATAAAATAAAATAAAATAAAGATTTAGTAGAAGGGGCTGGGGTTGTGACTCAGTGGCAGAGCACTTGCCTAGCATGTGTGAGGCACTGGGTTCAATCCTCAGCACCACATATAAATAAAAAATAAAGGTATATCAACAACTAAAATATATTTAAAAAATTAGTAGAATTTACCTGTGAAGCTGAAGCCTTCATGGATTTTCTTTCTTGGGAGATTTTTTGATTACTGATTTAAGCGCTTTACTAGTTACATACAGATTTACTTTGATTTTCTGTTTCTTCATGACTTAGTTTGGGTAGATCTTATGTTTCTAGGAATTCATCCATTTCATCTAGTTATTCAATTTGTTGGCACACAGTTGTTCATAGTACTATTTTATGATTTTTTTTGTTCCCTCGCATTGCTAGTATTATTCCCATTTCATTACTGATTTTAGTAATTTGAGTCTTTTTTTTCTTTAGTCCATGTAATGGTTTAGAAATGAGGTGTCCCCCAAAAGCTCATGTATGAGATAATGCAAGAGAGCTTAGAGGTAAAATGATTGSGTTATGAGGGACTTACCCTAGTTCATGAATCCTGGATTAGGGATTACCTTGGTCATAACTGTAGGCAGGCAGGGTGTGGCTGGAGAAAGTGGTCACTGGGGCATGCCTTTGGGTTGCAGAGGTAAGGGGAGTCTTGCTCCCTGCATCCTGGTGCCGCGTTCCCAGATGTTCTTTTCCTTAACACCCTTCCTCCATGATGTGTGGCTTCATCTTGGGCCCAGAGCAATGGAGTCAGATGTCTAACGACTGAGACCTCTAAAACCATGAGCACCCCCCCCAAAAAAAAATTTCCTCCTCTAAAATTGTTATTGTCAGGTCTTTGGTCACAACAGCCAAAAAAGTGACTTAAAGAGTCCATCTTGCTAAAAGTCTGTGAATTTTCTTGATCCTTTCAAACAATCAAATTTTGGTTTCATTGATTTTCTCTATTGCTTTATTATTCTCTATTCCATTTATCTCTGCTCTTATTTTTATTATTTTCTTCCTTCTGCTAGTTATGAGTGTAATGTCTTTCTTCTTTTTCTAATTTTTCAACTTGCAAAGGTAGGATGTTGATTGTAAAAAATTGTGCCAGGGGTGCCTAGCATGTATGAGGCCCTGGGTTCAATCCTCAGCACTGAAAAATTATTTTACAAAATTACCTTCAGGCTTTGTATATAAGACATATATGATATATAAATTAACTTCATGTTTATATTTAGGTATAACCCCTAAGATTTCTCATTCTATGTATCCAGAATTCCAAGATTCCAAAAGTCTGAAGCACCAAACACTTTTGGTCCCAAGCATTTCAGATGAAGGACTTTCAACATGAGGTGTTGTTTGGAACCTTTTGGATATATGGTTCTCACCTTTTTCTCCATGGTCACCATCTGGACAGTACACTGATAATGGAATTTTTTCCAAGAAGAAATAGGCACACCTTTCTCCTTCTGTCAGACGAGAATGCCAATAAATAGTGCTCTTTGTTCTATGTTTTCCTAGTTGTAATGTGTTCTGTCATGATCTTGAAAGATTGTCCATGTGTTCTAATTTTGCCTTAAAACCACCAAATAAGTTTTTCATAATTTTTAAACACAGAGGTTCTATTGTGGACTGATTTCAATTATGTCTCCTACAGGAAAGCATCCCTGGCAGCCGATGTGCCCAGGCTTGGGTACAGTTCCTTGCCCAATCACAAGTACATTCCTCGGAGGGCTGTGCTGTATGTGCCTGGAAATGATGAAAAGAAAATCAAGAAGATTCCATCCCTGAACGTGGACTGTGCAGTGCTTGACTGTGAGGATGGTGTGGCTGCCAACAAAAAGGTAATGCCATGGTTTTCAGATGGAGGAGAAATGGATTGAAATCCACTATTTTTGTGGCAGCATTGCCCAGTATTTGGAAAAGTTCTACTGTACTCATGGTTTATTGATTAGGATTCAGTGTGTGTGTGTATATATATATATATATTTTTTTTCCACCTTTATTTTATTTGTTCATTTATATGTGGTGCTAGGGACCGAACCCAGTGCATCATGGGTGCTAGGCAAGTGCTCTACCACTGAGCCACAACCCCAGCCCCTAAAATATATTTTTAAATCATGACAGTCAATACATGTGATGATTGTGTGTATAGATATAGACAATCAATTTTGGCCCTGATATTTTCTGGTTTAGGCAAATGAGTTATATAATTCCAGAATTGTAGTGTAAACTTTTCATGCCAACAGTGTACAATCAAGGAATTTATTTGTTCTTTTATTTATTTATTTATTTATTTTGTTGGAGATGGATACAATATATTTTATTCATTTATTTTTATGTCATGATGAGAATTGAACTCAGTACCTCACAAGTGCTAGGCAAGTGTTCTACCCCTGGGCCACAACCCCAGCCCCCCATTTCTTCTTTTTACCACCAGCTATATTAATAATATTAATTAATTAACTAATAATAATTAATGTTAATGTCTGAGACAAATGCTAAGAATCTAACAGCTAGTCTTCCATGGATAAGTCACTGCCTCACACAGAACCTTTGGGTTGCATGCAGTTCTGCCTGATTTTCTCATGGCCTATCAGAGAAATGAGCATTAGAGAATTTCCAGTTTGTGAACAGGTGCAGAAGGTTCTTACTTGGTAATTGCATGGTGGATGCTTTTGGTTTCATTTTGTTTTGCTTAACTTTATTTTTTCATATTTGTACAGTAAACGTGGATGTGTTCAATAATTAGGTGGAATATGTAAATCTTTATGTTAATCAATTATGTTTGCATGGAATTCTTTTGGTTCAAAATATTCTTGCACTCGACCTTTATCTATCCAGTCCCTGGACAATGCGGTTGGGCTGGGAATGGATTGTGGGGCTAGGGGATGGAGGGAGCCAGCCATCTGGATTCATGCCTGTTTGGGGCCCCAGGTGATCTGAATAACCTGCCTGTACTATACAACTTTCTGAATTAATTGTTTTCCTTGGAGACTCTAGCAAACAAATATTTGCCTTAATTAAAAAAATAAAGTTAATTTCCTGCATCTTCCTGGTAGTCAAACCAAGGCTTTCCAAGTATTTGGAAAAGGATTAGAATAAGCATGTGGAATCTAAAGTGTCTACTCAACATCTTTGGCATGTGCCAAGGAAAATACAATTAATCCTCTTTCTCCCAGAGATTAAGGTAAATAGGCCTTTTTTTTTTTTWAAGGATATAATGTGATTCCAGTATGCTTCCTCCCAAAACTCATGTAGTGCACTCTGAGATTAGATAGTAAATTGTAATTCCAGTTCTGTGTGACCCAGGGCAATTCACTTTACTTCTTTACTTCAATTTCTTATCTATACCGTGGGGATAACAATATCTTCTTTTGTCAGGGACAGGGATTATTATGAGAAAAAAGTTGATAAATGTCTGGGAGTAGCTTGATTTCCTACAGGAAATAGATTAGATAAAGCCTGCAGTAATCATGATGAGAGAGGAATTTATTTTAGCATTGTAGCACAGTAAGACATTAGGAGCCCTGATAAAGTTCTAATTTTATTTCTTTGCAAATCTTGAGGCTATTCCCTTAGACTCACCTGAGGATGTTACCTGTCCCCTAGATGAGATGGAAAGGTGATCTGTTTCTGCCTTACATTTCCTTACTGCTTATCTGAGTCCTCAGCCATCATCATATCCAGAGTAGTAACAGCTGAGCTGAGGAGACACCTAAGGAAGAGATGGGGAGAGGAGTTAGCTGTGGGCAGACTGTGCTTGCCATCGTGGAGTGTCATCTTTGTCCAGTGTCTTTATTCGGACATTCCAATTCTCTTAATGCAGCTCTACATTGCATTTATTGCTAGACACACACTCTTCTGCACGATGATCTGGAGTGGATAAAATTTCCATCATAATTCACAGAAAGTTCTGATAAGCCAGGATAATACTTATAAAAAATTATTTTTTCCTTAAAATTTCTATTTCTAAATAAGTAATCTCATATTTCATTTCATAGCCCCCTAGCCTGTCAAGTTCTTTTTGAATTTTGATTTTATCATTCAATATTAATATTATCTGAGAATTTGACGAGCACACTATATGAAAATTCAACAAGTTTCTGATGAACCTGTTGAAGAGATTGGAGCCAAGTATAGCACAAGCCTGCCCCTAAGAACCTCTGTTTGTTTAACAAATATTTATGTGGTGCTTGCTAAAAGCTAGGCACTGTAATTTGCATGACAACCCAATGAGGTAGTGCTATTATATTTCTTTTATAAATTGGGAAACTGAGGCATAAAGAATAATGAATAAAACTGGTGATGTGGTTAATCAGTCACCTGACACCTAAAAAATCCAGTCTTTTCATGAGGATATTATGAGATTTTCATCAAATACCATTTTAAAATGAGGGCACACATTCTGGGAGTTCCTGCTTTTAAGGACTCATCTGAGTGGATTGGACACTCCTAGAGGATCCAGGCTCTTCTTCTCTAGCTTGAGGTCCTCAATTATAATCACACCTGGAAAGTTCCTTGTCCATGCTGAGTAGCACATACACAGGTTCCAGGGATTAGGACAGGGGCTTTTTTGGGAAGCAAGGGTGGCATTATTCTGCTGGCCATGGCCTCTGCAAGAGTCACCTGGGGGCTGGGGCTGTAGCTCAATGGTAGAGCGCTTGCCTCGCAGGTGTGAGGCCCTGGGTTTAATCAGCACCACATAAAACATAATAAATAAAGATATTTTWAAAAATGTCTTTAAAAAATCACCTGGGTTTCTTGTAATTACAACAAAACAAAACAAAAACAAAAACAAAAAGTCCTGCACTTTATGCTAAATTGACAAGATAGAACTTCAGGAAATTACATTAATTTACACTTTTAAGAGCTTCCCATACATTTTTATGCACATTAAAATTTGAAAGTCAACATAACCAACATGACACTGACTCAGCATTCTTCCTTTTATTCTCTTTTCTTCTCTTATTATGAAAAATAAAATTGGAAACTCAATATTAAAAAAAAAAATAAGGCACATTCCCAAGGTACCTGTCCAGAAATATCTTTTCACCCAGCACTAGAAAAATTTCCATCCTTCTTGATGGAGGAGAGAGTAGGGACCATTTTAAGTGTGTTTATTTTTAACTAGAAAAGTGAGGTCAGGTAGATCCACGTCAGTACTTAATTGTTACTGCCTCTTTTTGAAGTGGCAGAAGTAAAGAAAATGGTTTCCTGGGAAATTTCTCTGTAACAGGTGCCATATTGCATAGATTAGTATTCCTATATTCTATGTATTATTTTCATATATAATCTCATTAATCCTTACAGCAAAGTTTCAAAATATGTCCAAGGTTACATTATCATTAAATGGCAGAACTAAAACTTGAATTTCCAAGAATTTTTGATGGAATCAGCTTCACGCTCCCCATTTCCTGTTTGGAAAGTGAGTGCACTATCTGTCCGTGTTTTGTCAGCTTTCCATTCTCCATGATTTCTCAAAGGCTAATAACAGGAACTCTGGATTTACATATGAAAATTCTTTCAGCATCCTGGGATTGTAATCCATTTAGACCTGGGACTTCCATTCATTCGAAATGTCCAGAAAACCCTGAAATTTCTTATATAGCTCATATTCTTTTTTCTTAAAGTCACTTATTTTTTTTGTCTGTCCATTTAAAAAAAATTTTTTTTGTTGTAGTTGGACAAATACCTTTATTTTATTTATTTATTTTTATGTGGTGCTGAGGATCGAATCCAGGGTCCCACACATGCAAGGCAAACGCTCTAGCACCTAGCCACAACTCCAGCCCCTGTCCATCTTTTTTTTTAATTTTAATTTTTTATATATGACAGCAGAATGACTCATGATTCATATTATGCACACAGAGCACAATGTTTCATTTCTCTGGTTGTACACAAAGTAGAGTCACACCATTCGTGTCTTCATACATATACTTCATACATGTAATGATGTCCATCTCATTCCATTGTTAAAGTCACTTCTTAATCATTTTTCTTATTTGAATGTTTTTCTTCTTGATGGAGGAGAGAGTACGGACCATTTTAAGTGTGTTTATTTATTTATTTATTTTTAAGAGGGAGGGAGGGAGGGAGGGAGAGAGAGAGAGAGAGAATTTTAATATTTATTTTTTTTTTAGTTATCGGCGGATACAACATCTTTGTTTTGTATGTGGTGCTGAAGATCGAACCCGGGCTGCACGCATGGCAGGCGAGGGCGCTACCGTTTGAGCCACATCCCCAGCCCCAAGTGTGTTTATTTTTAACTAAGAAAAAATACAGGCCAGGCACGGTGGCACACGCCTGTAATCCCTGAAGCTTGGGAGGCTGAGACAGGAGCATCGTGAGTTCAAAGCTAACTTCAGCAATGGTGAGGTGCTAAGCAACTCAGTGAGACCCTGTCTCTAAATGAAACACAAAATTGGGCTGGGGATGTGGCTCAATAGTTGTTTGCCACTGAGTTCAATCCTCAGCCTCCCCCAACCAACCACACACACACACACACACACACAAAAATAAATAAATAAATAAATAAAACTCTTATTTCAGATTATCTAGTTGTAGTTTTGCTAATTATTGCCCAATTCAGCTTCTTGGAATTATGAAAATATAGTCAGTTCATTTCATATCTCATTTTGTCTCTTTTTTATTACTAGACTAATTCCACAATTCATTGGGTTGCCTCTATAGAAGTATGGGCTTATAATGAAAACAATAGGAGTTTCCACAAAGCAGTTTATGAGTATCTAATACCTTCCAGCAGTCTCTAATCCTGTCCTGCTAATCCAATTTGTGTTTAAGTAGCTCCTTCATGTCCAGAGTGGCACTACCAGCTCACCTT